AAAAAAAAAAAAAAAATCCCCCAAAGACATTCCCCCTAGCCCTCACATTACTCGATATATAGGCATTATTTGATGATGTGGGTTCTTCTCTCTTCCTTGAATCATTTTATTCCCAGAGCTTCCACTCTTTTCTTGCCAGTCTCTCCTTCTCAGATTCCTTTGTTTTTTTCTTAATCATCTTGGCCTCGAAATATTTCCTTAATCTTCTTGACCTCCAGGTCTCCATCCTCAGAGCACTTCTCTTCAGTGTTCGCACTAACTACACAGTGATCTCATCAAGCCTCATAGCTGTAAGTACCATCTATGTCTTTGTGACTCCCACATGTATTTCTCCAGCTTGGACCCCTCACCTGAATCCCAAGGCCATATACCCAGCTCCACATGAATTCCACATAAGCATTTCAAACTTACTTTCCCCAACTTAACTCTTCATCCCCACCCCACTGCCCCACACCAACTTGCTTCCTCTCCAGGACTCTTCCTTTGAGTAAATGGTCCCTCCATCCATCCACTTGCTCAAGCCCAAAACCTTGAAATCATTCTTGAGTCCCCTCTTTCCATCATACTCCATATCCAATCCCTCAACAAGCCCATTTGGTTCTACCTTCATACTGTACCCCGTATTCAACCATGTTGTACTATAACTATGGCAGGCCAAGCCAAAATGGATTCTCCCTGGGATAATTGCAAGAGTCTCCAACTTGTCTCCCGGCTTCCATCTTGCCCTCCTGTAGTCTGTTTTCCACAGAGCAGCCAGAGGAACCCTTTTAAAATTCTCTGCTCAAAACCATCACCCTTAGGATAAATTCCAAGACCCTTGCCATGGCCTGCAAGGCCTGGCATAAAGCTGACCCTTGACTTCTCTGCCCCTTTTCTCCTTCAACTTTCTGCCCCAGGCACACCCACCTTGTCAGGGCCTTTGCCTGTAGTTTCCCCCACTACCCAAATTGTTCTTTTCCAAAGTAGCTCATGCCCTCACTTCTCATGTGTCTCTGCTCCAATGTGACCGGTCAGAGAAGCCTTCCTTGTCACTTTCTAAAGCCTGGCTCCACTTTTATTTCCTTCATGTCTCTTATCCTTACCCAAATTTATATTATATACATCTTTTATTATTTATTTACTTTCTGTCTCCACCCACTAGACCCTAAAACCTTAAGGGGAAGGATTTTACTTTTTTCCACTGCTATAACCCCAAAGCCAAGGCCAATGCCTGGCTCATAGTAGTGACACAATAAATATTTATTAAATGAATTATTGAATGAATGAATGATCTCTTACTCATCAGATCACCAGGGTGATTACATGAATTAAAATATATAGAGCAGTTTCTAGCACATGGCAAAGTACTTGAGAATATATGTTCCTTCTCCCATTATTACTATAAAAAAAATGGAGTTGGGTTGTGCCAATGTTGTCTGGAAGATAATCATTTTGTGACATCTGCTATTATCGGGGTTTGCTTCTATTTCTGTATTTTATATGTTCCCATCTGGCCTCTACTCTTTGGGGAATAATTAGAGAAAGTGTGTTCCTTTGAGCTCACTGCTCAGACTTTGTTTAACTTGTAGGCCTTTCTTCTAAGCTGCCCACTTGAATAAGTAATGTTACATTGGCTTCCAAGGCAAATTCTCCAACTCTGTAGGCAGGCAGGCTCTGAAAGTCTGACACAGTTTCCAGCCACATCCCACAGGACAAGGAAAATGCTACAGGTGTCTTGGCACCATGCTGAAACTTCAAAGGAACACAGAATACCATATATGGAAGTTTCTGAAGGCAGAAATAAAGCACACGAGCACAGGAGGGAGACCAGACTGGACGTACGTAGGCAGCACCCCATGACCTTCCCTGGCCTAGCAACAGAGTCCACAGAGTCTGTCAGAGAAGCCTTAAAGGGAAGTCTGCTGCTCCCCTTTGATCAACAGCTATGCTCCTTTATTATTTTTAAGAAATTTGAAATATATAAAATAAGGGAAATAGCTCCCCAAAAAGCAGATTTGCTTTCTCACTGCACATCCTTTCCCGCTCTCACTGTCTGCCAAAAGTAGTTCTGTCCCCCCGAGGGTGAAGGGTAAGCTCTCCTCTGTTCCCTCTCCATCACCTGTCCATCACTGCCAATGAAGAATGGGGGCTTAAAGGAAGGTAAATTTAATTCTGAACCCTGGACTTGACTCACGTGAGCTGTGTGACCTTGGGCAAGTCCCTTAACCTCCCTCAGCCATTTCTACAGGAGTAAAACAACAGTGTCTTCACTGGATGGTTGGGAAGATGAAGAAGGATCACCTGGGGATGCACCTGCTATTATTATAATTAGGATAGGTGCTTTTGTTCCGCTTCTGAGACAAGAGTAGCCAATTTATTGAACCATCTGAACTCCATGACAGGATTTTATTTTTCTATATGATGATATTTGCTCTGATAAAGCACCCTCGCCCTGGGTTGCCAAGTCCACAACAAAATCTTCGCAGATTCCTTAACTTCCTGGTCACTTTATTAAAATCTGTCCACAATAAAACTCTAGTCTTATCTATTTAAACCCCCCTTCCTCCAGCACCAGCCCAGGCAATAACTGGAAGGATGCGAAGTAAGGAAGGTCTGTTCTTCTCCTTTATGGCTTTCTGGCCCTCACCCTGGTGTGGCTCTGTCTCAGTGAGTGCTGTCTCATGCCCGCTCTCACTTAGCTTTGCTGGAGATGGAGGGTCCTCTTCACAATAAATGCAGGGCTCCCAAGGACGCATGACCCTGCTCCCCTATATCAGTCAGGATAGGCTAGGTTATGGTACAGTAATGAACAACACCAAAATAACTCACCAGCACCTCCTTCTCTTCCTTCTTTGGTGGCTATAGCGCCTCTGGTGGGTTTGGGCCATAGGGCAAAGGGAAAGAGACAGTGTTCTTGGCCAACCCACTGTTTCTGATCTTTAAATATAGGGTGTTGCTGGTCTCTGGCTAATGATGCCTCATCGCTGGCTAAGTGGAGCTCCTCTAGAGGGCCCCAACAAGGCCTCCTCCCCAGATGGCTCCCTGAAGTGGGGAGCTGGCTTCACACAGCCACAGCCAACCTCACAGGGGGAAAGAAGTAAAATCCAGCACATGGCAGGAAGGTGGGGAGAAGCAATGTATTGCTGTGTATACACAATAGATACCCAACTTAATGGTTTCAAACACCAGTCATCTCTTTAGTTGATGGTTCTGTGGGCTGACGATTTGGATGGGACTCAGCTCGACAGTTCTTCTGGTCTCTTCTAGACCCTTATATTCCCTGCAGGGAAACAAGGTAGCCCTGCTTCGGTGGTCTTACTCATGTGATGGGAGGTGACTGGACTGTGTGTCTCTCATCATCCTTCAGGCTACACTGGGTTGGTTCATAAGGCAGTTTGGCAGGTTTCCAAGAGGGAGGACAAAGCATGCAAGGCATCTTGAGGTCTGGGCTTGGAACTGGCTTAAAATTTCTTCCGGCACCTTTTACTGGTCAAGTTCCCCAAACCAACAAGATCCAAGGAGTGTGGAAACATGCTACCTTTGATGGGTGGGGCTGCAAAGTTACATTGCAGAGGTGAATGGGGAAGGGAAATGGAGGAAAATTATAGCATTTTTGCAGTCTACCCCAAGCACAAAAGACCACATCTTCCTGGTCTTCTGAGGGAGAGGTTGGAGGGTTGATGCAGAGGTGACGTGGCTCGGCAAGGCCAGATCATCTCATCTTATGTGTCCTGGAGAGGTGTTTGACTACACTTGATGGGGGCCTTTATTAGACTCGTGTGCTTAGCTCCTTTTTGTCTGCAACTTTGGGTCAAAGACATTCCAGACAACAGGCAGAGTCCCCATGGATAGTCAATGACAGAAGGAAACTACCTTGAAGGTAAAGTGACCTGTTGCAGGTCATGCAGCTACTAAGTGCTTTATTGCTTTATCTGGGCAAAGGGAGAAGTATGCACAAAAGGGGTGGCAGTGAGAAAGCATAGTAAATACCACAGACTTTCAAAGGGCCACTGTAGCTGGCGTGGACAGAGCAAGGTACACGTTGCTACAAGCTGTCATGGGGACCCAGAAGCTGCCAGTCCATGGAGCCCATGACAAGGAGCTTTTCTTTAGATTTAAGAACAAAGAAAACCTTGTGAAGGATTTAAACACCAGGCTCACATGCTCACATCTGTATTTCCAAAAGATCCTGCTAGCTCCAGTAAGGAAGGCTGGATTGGTGGTGCAGACCGCACCAAACCCAGACCTTTCAGTAATTAGTTCTCCAAACCCAGGTTTTAATTCTTCATAAGTTCCAAGGCAAAAGAGAAATGATCCAGTTTGCCATGGCCGAAAACAAGCAGCAAGGCAGGGAGAAGAGCAGAGAAAGTCAAACAAGTAATCCCATGCCGTGTCCTCCGCAAACACACACACATCCACACATATTACTCATCCATATGCTTCAGACCCAAGCAGGCTTGAGAGTTTCTGGTTCCCGTTCTGTGGATAGTTCACCCAGATGGATTCGAGGCAGACAGTGGCCTCTTCTGCTTTGCCATGTATAGAGACAAGTAGCTGCTAAGTGACCATCAGAGAGAAAGACTGGCAGAGGCTCTGGCATGGCAGACACAGCCATTGAGCCCAGAAGGTCATTCACCTAATATTTCCAATGATTCTGATTCAGAAGGCAAATGGTGTCAAAAGTTCAGTGTCATGGGACACTTTGACAGCACATTGGTAGGACCTCAAGGAGGCGGGGAGGAGGAGCAGGGGCAGAAGCAAAGGCACCTTGGGGCCTCTCTGGGCAGTCTGGCTCAGCACGGGAGCTCCTCTAGAGAGGGACTGCCACATACCCTTTAGGCACTGACCTTGCCCACCCACACAGGGACATTTGTGAGCCTCCTTGGGGCGGAGGGTGTCAGCTGGAACAGTGCAGTGCCTGGAGCAGACCTCATCCCCCAAGCATGAGTCTGCATGATCGATCGTAAGAGAGTGTTCTGTCATTGCATTGCAGCTCCAGAAACTAAAACGATCACTTTCTTTCAAGACCAAGAGTTTACGGAGCAAAAGTGCTGACAACTTCTTCCAGCGAACGAACAGCGACGTGAAGCTGCAGGGGGACATGCTGGCTGAGGTCAGCCCCAGCTCCAGCCCACTCCCCGCTTCTGGAAGCCTGACATCTACACCCACCAGGACCGGCCTGTACCCAGGGGCTGGCAGCAAGGCCCATGCCTTTCAGGAGCATATCTTCAAGAAGCCCACTTTCTGTGATGTCTGCAACCACATGATCGTGGGTAAGGCCTCCCCCACCCCTACCTCCAGGTCCCCGCACCCCCGGGAAGGACAAGTGAGAGTGGTGTAGCCCGAGTCCAGGCCCCAGGACAGATTCTGAGCCTCAGAGATGTACATGAGGGCAGGTTGTTCGGGAATGTTCTGGAGAACAATCGTGCACAGGGAAGGGAAAGCAGGACTGGGCAGAGGGAGAAGTTGGATGGTGATACAGTTGCACCTTCAACTAATCCCCCAAGAGCCCTGGACAGTCATCTGCATTGAGGCTAGAGGTCTGGGCCTTTGTACCCCGGCATCACCTCTCACTGTGTATAGGCAGCCCCTGGGGAGAGGGCATAATCCGGGACATAGCAGCTCTTTTCAGCCAAGGGCAGTGGGCAGAGAGGGAATCAGTGGGAGGCAACCAAGACGCTGGGCAGGTGGGCACGGAACACTTCGGTACCGTGGGGGGGACCTGAGTGACACGTCACAGCATCCACTACAGGGCGCATGGCGCTGTCTGTCTGGGGTAGCCTGCAGAGGGAGTCTGTGGCTGGGTGAACTATAGAGGAATGACCCGGACAGACAGGCGTGGGAGGGATGATTCTGGGGGAGGCACTGAACCGGGCAGGAAAGGTGATCGAGCCACCATTACAAGTCTGGACCTGGCACGGACTCACTCATGGTACCTCAGAGAAATGGGAGCAGCCTGAGAGTCTTAGGGGTTGCGCCCAGATGAAGAGAATGATCATAAAATGTCCCAGCTACAAGGAAAAAGTAGGCCATTCAGAGCCACCCGCACAGAACTTCCACAGTTCATACTCTTCTGCCTCTTCAGAGTGAGTTTAAACCAGTTGTTTCAAGAGCAGCAGTAAATCCTGGTAATTGACCAGTGGCCACAGAACACAGGCCTGTGTTTGCTCTCAGGTGGCGTTAGGATGTAAACCCCACCCCCACCCCTCCACCCCCCACCCCCGGTTAGGAGAAATTTAAGGGTATCACGACTGGAAATGAGGCTGAAAAATGAAAAATGCAGGGCTGATCCAGATCCAGATGTGGACTGTCTTCCCGAGATGGTGCTGACCCTCCAGAAGTGTAGCCCATCGAATTCCTGGAGCGCCTGGAAGCACCCTGAGGCCTTCCCCACTTTGTGGCGCCCGCTTACAGCCCGGATGCCACAGTGTCCAGCTTGGCATGAATGCTTCAGGGAAGGACACTTTTAAGATCAAGCTGGGCCCAGGGCCCAGCAAGGCTCTGGGGAAAAGCCATTATGCCCTCTAGTCTCATCTTCCAGCTCCTCCACCCTGACACATACTTGACACACACCATCCAGCCCCACCGTTTCCCCTCCAGGACCAGCTTCCTATAGCCTGGCATCTCTTCCGAGGCTGACTGTTGTCTCAGGCCAGATTCCCTAGAAGCAGAGCCTGAGAGGGGAGTTGGGTGCACGTGATGGGTTGAGGGGGCGCTCTCAGGAGAAGGGAGAGGGAGGAAGCGGATTGGGGCAGGGAAGTTGCTGAATACAAAAGTGGTCTCAGTGGGAGTCTTACTTCAGCCAGCTCTGGAGGAGCGCTGGTGCATGGGTCGCACAGCTGGTCCTTCCTTGAGGCCAGCCTTTCGTAGCCTACTCTCTGTGGGTCTCTCTCCTCCTCCCACGACGGAGGCCCTTTCAGAACCCCTGGGCCAAGTGGCTCATGTTCTGTTGAAGGCAATTTTCTGGAGAAAGGGGTAGCTCTGAGTCATTAGCAGCCAGTACACACACCTCTGGTGTATTAGTGGCTTTTTGCTACTGTAACTGAGTATCGCAAACTTAATGGGTTAAAACAACACAGCTTCATTATCTTATACTTCTGGACGTTGAAAGTCCACAGTGGGTCTCACTGGGCTAAAATCAGGGCGTCAGGAGCTCCATTCCTTCCTGGAGGTTCTAAGGGAGAATATACGTTCTTGCCTTCTCCAGCTTCTACAGACGGCCCCCACCTTAGCTTGTGGCCCCTTCTGTGTTCAAAGTTGTAATGGCAGGTTGCATCTTTCTCACACCACCTTCTTTCTGGTCCTGACTCTCCCTCCTACACCCACCTGGATAATCTTTCCATCTCAAGGCCACCTGATTAGCAACCTTACTCCCTTCTGCAACCTCAGTTTCCCCTTGCTTTGTAACATAACATGTTCTTTGGTTCCGGGGATTAAGAGGTGGACACCTTTAGGGGGCCATCCCTCTGCCTGTGCACACGCAGTAGGGGTATCTGGGCAGAGCATCGACTGTGTCCACCACAACAGTAGAAGAAAACTCTGGTTGAAGATCACAGGACTGGCCTCTGTTGATTCCTTTCCATCCTGGCTTTGATGCCAATCATGTGATCGTGGCACTCTGATGGCTTTCACACAGCTGATGGCTGTGTCATGTCACATGGTGAGAGGCATTTCATTCAGAGTGGGCAAAGAGGCACCTTTCTGTTCAGTGCACAGAGTGGGGACAATGCTGACCCATGTTTTGCTTATGGCTACTCCCATGACATAATTAGCCTTTCCCTTTCCAGATAAAACAATGTAAGAGATTGAGGACAGTAGAAAGACCATGTGCATGGAATCAGGCTGGACTTGAACCCCATGCAGCTGTGTGACCGAGTGCCAGTGACTCACCTTCTCTGAGCCTGGGTCCTCATTTTATATGGAGATGATAATACCACCCTCAGGGGTTTTGAATGGATCAGTGAACTGGCAGAGGGGAAGTACCAGGCATGAGTACTTGGTACAATGAGCCCATTGGAGTTGGTATTATCACCATCATTATTAGAGGAGAAAATAGTCATTACTCTCCTGAAGCAGAGAAATATATTCAGAGGATAAACCGAATTAGTTTTACAGAAAAAGAAATTAAATTTAATAGGCATAAATAATGGGAAAAAAAATAACATCCAGGTAAGAAGAAGTAATTAGTCCCTCATGTACATGGCAATGTTTTAGGTGCATGTCAAGGATTGTCTATAATTCTGCATTTCATATTTTATGAGGGACCTGGAGAAGCAGGTATGTGTCTGGAAGAGAGTGATCAGAATGGTGAGTGGTGTGTCAAAATAAAAGAATGAGGAAACTCTGGGAGTTTGGCGTGGAAAAGATTTAGGATGTGCGTCTGTGTTTGAAAGTACCATGTTGGAAGAGTTAAGAGACTCATGCAATGTGGCTTTAGAGGGGAGGGTTGGGAACAAGGGGTAAAGTTAAAAGGCAAATTTCAGTGAGAATATAACCACTTAAGCCATGCACTTGACTGAATGAATGGCTTTCCTTGTGAGTAGTGCGTGGTTTAACTTGTGTCAGGCAGAGGTCATCTGAAGGTCTTTTCTTCCTTAATTATCTGATAGTCTTTGAAATGTTTGTGCTTCCCAAAGAAGCCAACGTCTGTCATCACTGAACTGGGACGTATCAGTGGTGTCCAGTACAGCCAGGAAGGCGGGATCCTGTCGTTCCCTTTACCCCTGGCCAAGACCCAGTTAAGGGGTGGGATGTTCAAACGGGGAAGCAACGTTTGCCCATCTAGCGACCATAAACACAAGGACTGTCCTCATCTTTAGAAAACCGTATTCTATTCACATTCACTTTCTAGTCACGGTCATTCACGCTCTTCCTGTGACCAAGCCCCATTTCAGAGCAGTGTTTGTGTCACTCGTCGATTCCACAGTATTGCTGGGTAACGAGTGCTCTCGAGCCCCAGCACTTAGAGTAGCTTTCTTTGACTCTTACTCAGACTTCCTTGGATCAGCTGGGGTTGGGCTGCTATCACATGTTCTATTGCTCATCTCTTACCCTTTCTTTGGACAAGTGGGCTAGCCGGGGTGTGTTCTTCCCATGGCAAGGACAAGGGGAAACATACCGAGCTTTTAAGGTTTCAGATAGGAGGTGACGTGCTATCCCATCTGGTGGCATTCCTCCAGAGTGTGGGTAGGCCCAGCCCATGACAAGGGGTGGAGAACTACACCTCCAGTAGCAGGGACTGCAGAGCCACCTGGCAAAAGACATGGGTATGGGAGGGGTGAAGTTGAGGTCAATCATCCAACCTACCGCAGTACTGAGGGTGACCTCTGGACCATTGAAACCTTTTTGTTGGATAGATGGCACCAAGTCTTGGGGCTGTCCCACCCTTCCACTCCACTTCTCCATCTGGAAGTGATGCCTCGACTCTGACTGTGAGTGTGGCGGGAAGAGGGTCTCATGTCCCCTGCTCAGGATATGGAGGCAGCTTGGCCTCCAACCTCGTTTTCCTGTCTGCCTAGCTGTCTTCCAAGTCTGCTGCGTCACTGTCAATTCCCTATAAATTCCCACCAGGCCTTTTCAAGGCAGTGCTATTCATAACCCTTAAATAGGTGATGATGTGTCTCTATTTTAAATCTCACTGTGACGAGTGTGAAAAGACAAAGGAACGTGTGTTTTTAAAATGAGTAACAGAAATGAGTTTGCCTCTGAGGAATGTCACAATCATTATCCTGGGGAACGGGGGACTTAGAAACTTCTCAAGTACCAGCCACAATTTCGAAGGACTCCGTTTTGAAAATCACAAAAAAGATGCGCCCTGTGCTAAAGAGAACCTTACTATATCTTCCCCCTTATTAGAATTGAATTTATATCCTAGCTGCCATTTTATCTTTAAAAAGACAGAGGGGGAAAAAAAAGAGTCAGCCAGGCACTCTGCTCTTTTCAAAGATGAAAGAGAAGGAAAGCAAGCAGGCTCCTTCTAGGAAAGAGGAAGGAGAATTAGTGAAGAGCTCTATGTGAGGTGGGAGGAAAGGGGAGAGGAGGTGAAGAGAGCAAGCAACGTGTGAAGCAGAGACTGGCAAATGTTCTAACTTCCCGAAAGGAGGCAGGGGTCACGCTGGTAGGTGATCCCAGAGCACAGTTGATCTGTCCTCCTTCCCTTTCCTTGCTCTTCAAACTTAGCCTCCTGTCTCCACAGGTATTACCTGCAGATTTGCTTGCTTCAAGCCCCAGCTCTTCTTCATATCCCAAGTTCTGGGGAAAGGCCACCTACTGC